ACCTAAATTAATCTATACTAGTTCTGAAGTAAATCGTATTTACCCGCATGAATCGCCTTATGTCATTTATTCCCGATAAACAGAGCATGCACACTTTCCGACAGTAATGTGGGGTAAGTCACGCACCAAACCTATACTCTCGATATACATGTTGCTCTTACTTGCCCAACACTATTGGGCTTACAAGATACGTATATTAAAGTGCCATGCTTTCCTGATGTGCTATCATTCTAATTCGAAATAATGACATAAATAGTCACCCTTCAATATTTTTCAAGTTCGGGTTAATCACAAACATATTTGAATATATACCACATCTATACTTACATGTACATGTACTTATCTTTTATACTTTAAAGAATTAGGTGTGTCTATCATACAGACCCCGAAACAAATATGTCCAATACAGCCCAAATTTGGCAAAATGAAGAAAGTCTCTTGGCTCCTTTTTGTTATATTTTATAACTATTGTTTAACAACTTTTTTATTCTGTAAAATATGTTCATTTCAGAGATTAAATGTTATTCTAGCATCATGTCTGTGGTACGTTCACTGCATCAGCGTTGACATAAAAACGATTTTTACATATATAAATACATACAGAGGAAATGCTTAGCATTTATCTTTTAAGGAAGAATGTGGGACTTGCTTAATACATATGTATGTGGACATATATGTATGTACATTTGGATGAATATAGATATACCTCCTTATAGATAGTGATCGTAGATGATTGTAGAACGTGCACGAAGAAAATGGAATAATCATGTGAGTAATCGGGTAAATACCACGTTTAGCAATATTCAGCCATGTTGCGATAATTGTTTCCAACATACAAGACGGACCATGAAATTATGACTTGAATTTGGACCTGGCTTTCTGATGTGATGTAACAACCCATAATCTAATGTAGAAAAAGAGCTAAAAAGCACGAATAAAGATCACGAGATGAAACTTATGTATACATCTGGGCATATATTTGCGTAGTATTACTACGTTAATTCATCAGTATATATGTATTTTGCGCAAAGGATATTGTAGATCGACGCTTACATGCGCATATAACCTATTCACCAGTGCTGTACTATTTAAATCATTTGTCTTGTGATACATATAGATAGGAACATGGAGAGTCTGTCTGAAGAAATATAGACATGCATGGGATCTTTTGGATAGTTGTACTTCACGGTTAGACAAACGCTTAGTCTCTGAAAATACATTATTTTGGTTAAAACGAGAAACTATATTTAAATTTAAAAGGAGCCCAAGTGGGATGGAAATTTCAGCCTGAACCCGTTGAACATCTAGGCTTTTTTCATGTGGGGCTATAGCATTGCAGTAAGGCCTGGGCGGAAGGAAAAATAATTCTTCCCCGGGGAAGTATACGGGAGAGGTTAATTTAATAGCATGTAAGTCGACATGTTGGTTTCTTTGAAATTTCAAGCCACACAGATACCGAAACGAAACATACAAATCATGTGAAATGTGCGTGAAATGTTGATGTTTATCTTTTCCAGCAATAAGAGATACTTCGTCTTGCTATTCTGAGACTTAGTCACTTTTCGTAATGCTGATAACCCATAAAATTTGTTCATTTTGTTTTTAAAAGAGCTCAAAATGATCCCATTTTGCTAAAGTTAACCGGTCTATATTTTTTAAGAATATACTATTGCACATTGAGCGATTATCTCCTTTAGCTATAGGCGTAGTATAGAAGTGATAAATCACGCACTGACCTTGCATTGCTGTACATCGTATCTTATTCAAGCTGTATCACTGAGAGTGAGTGATTAACTCCCTTATCCGAACAGCTCAATTGCGCACTACCTTTGCAATGTATCGTATGTTATTCAGGCAGCCATCGAGAAACGTTCCAGGAAGGAATTTAGGCCAAGCCTGTCACGCGCACTCAATTTTCACACTGCTATTGCGACATATTGTTCAACACGATTAAATACCAGGCTTCTATAAAGTATGACTTTGTTCAATTAACAACACATGTAAAACAACCGGTTTGATATGAGAATTGTTTTATTAGTTGTCTGAATGAACCGGCCACATTTACCGGCTCCAAGCTTGCGCAATTTTGACGACGGACACAGAGATCCGGGAACATTAAAACTTACAATATTGCATGTCACGTCTATGACACATTTCATGCAATGGATATATTTCTTTGTGTTTGTGAATAATTGATAATCCATTTCAAACTTGCTGCCATTTGATAGTGAGTGAGTGAGTGAGTTGGGTTTAACGCCGCTTTAAACATTATTCCAGTTATATCACGGCGTGTCAGCTTAATGTGGGAGGAAAGCCCGAAGTGATGCAGGTCTCAGACGTTTACCACTTCGGTGAAACCCACGAGCACGGGTATGGCGCTGACAAACCTAGAAACATAATTGGGGCGAACCGGGATTCGAACCCACAATCATAGGTTTCTGGCGTGCCCAAGGGACGCAACTCTGCACAGCGAATCGCGGCGCCTTAGACAGAGTCGATTGTACAATTCCGACCAACTCATGACCCTAGGTTTATGAATCACCACCAAACAGTGATGATACCAGGTGTCCGCGGAAAGATGTGCATATCCTGCCCCCACCCCGTCACAAACACATGCAAAGGCAAGTCAATTGTTCACCTAAAAAAACAACAAATAAAAACCAAAATAGGGAATTGCATCGGACATCATTTTTGTCACTGATGCTTCGAATTTGGAAATGTCCACATGTCAACCACAAATCTTGTTGAAAGCTTTACGGGGGCCTTGTATGTTGTAACCTTGATCAAACAACATCTGTGCAAGAGTTGTATGACGCTCTTTAAAATCTTGGTAGAAACAGCATGCTCGATTATATCTCGAAAGTTGTGAAATGTAGTCATCAAGGGCTGCGAGTATATTGCTTGACATTTAGGGAAAATTAAAGTAATCCCTCTTGAAATAGCATTGTGGGAGTGTTTAGTTACTCTGAATCTTTATGCATAGATGTAAACATGAAACATGGCCAAATGACCTTGTTTTGACTTCGAAGTTCTAAATTTATATTCATAAGGAAACAGATGTGCAAGAAGGGGGTACAATTGGGCCCCATGGGGTTGCCCACTTCTTACTTAAATGTCTTACCCCCAAATATTTCATAGATGTTATCAGTGAGGAGGTCGAGAATTTCAGTAGGCTTATGCTTTTATTTTTTGACAAAATGACCTGAATCTGTGATTTTGTTTGTTTGTTTGTTTGTTGTTTAACGCCGCACTCGGCAATATTCCAGCTATTTGACGTCGGTCTGTAAATAATCGAGTCTGGACCAGACAATCCAGTGATGGACATCATGAGCATCAATCTACGCAATTGAGCTCGATGACATGCATCAACCAAGTCAGCAAGCCTGACCACCCGATCCCGTTAGCCGCCTCTTACGACAAGTACAGTCGCCTTTTACATCAAGCATGGGTTGCTGAAGACCTGTTCTACCCCGGATCTTCACGGGTCTGAACCTATGAAGATAGATATGTAGCTATACCAATAATCACCACGTTATGTAACAAAAGCCCAATGGATCAAGGAATAAAGTTTGTCACGTGGGATAGTGGTGTACAAAGTTGGGAAATCAAAAGTTTCACAGACTTGAACCTGGTTCTTTTCATCTTCCCGAGGCAAGAGAGTTAACTGACTCTGAAAGTCCAGTTTACATCCTTGCCAACCTTGCTGGTATTTACATGGAGTTACATTTTGGCTTGACTAACGAGTCTTTGCATAGTCCAATCAAAATCGCGCACCGAAATCGAAACCCGGTTCGTAAACTGTCGTGCAGATTTCGGTCGATTGCAGGATTTACAAAGCATGTGCACCGCCAACTCGTTGTCAGCAGATATTTTCCAAATCTTTTCATGTTTTTAATCAAGGTGCTCACGGGATTTGATGCACTTCGCGATGTAGGACCCGTTTAATCACTATATAGATCTTGATTATCGATCAGATACTATTGACTGGCTGCCACCATTTTGTTTGAAGCAAATGTGATACGAGAGGTGGAATCTGATAAGTCCATAGAAGAGGGTTACAAGGGACATAACTCGTAACAGCCACTGGTGGCGCTACGATCGAGCCCAGTTTTTTAAAGTCAGTTAGCGTTCTTGCCTCGGGAAGATGGTACAAAATAGGAATGGACATGTCTACATGTTTTTGAGTCAAGTCAAACGGTGATGGTTCTGATGCATGTTTTTTCAAGACCCGCATCACTTCGGGCTTTCCCCCTTCATCAAGCAGTCGCACTTTGATAAAACTGAAATACAGTTCAAAACGACGTTAAACCAAACTATCTTCTATAGTCTGGAAGGTAATTTAAGGTACCGACGTTTACTACAATATCTGAAAAACTATCGGACCTACTCCAGTCAAAGTTGGTATGAGATTATTAAACAGTTAAACAGTCGAGAGAGTGCATGGAAATCATGCACGCACGAATACGGTGTTAGCGTTGGGCGTCTCAACGTACGTGATTCCCGCGCACCCTTTCGAGTTGAGTTGATTGGTTCAACTGTGTCATATGGCCCTGTGACGCAGGGGTAGCATTATGCAGATGGCTGTTTCAATGAATGCTCTTTCCACCCGTGACGAACAGGTCTGGTTGTTGATGAAATATAGTGATAGCTAAATAGACAGAGTGTTTATTCATGCACCGATTGTCTTTAAATGTAATATCCAGTTATGTATGACTGTTTAAAAATCTCATACCAACGTTGACCAGAGTAGGTCCAATAGTTTTTTTCAGATATTGTAGTAAACGTTGGTACCTTAAATTACCTTCCAGACTAAATATAACGACGAAATTTGGTTTTATTTTCGTACGTTTGCATTTGATTTTTGTTGATTGGTTGTTTTGAAAGCTTTCGGGTGTGTTTATCTCGGTTACACACAGTATATTTCCCAATATTTTTGTTGTGTTTTATACATGTGCGTATACAGTTAGAGTTCCAGTGTTCACGTGTGACATTCTTTACAGAACCATGCAGACGGAGTCGGTTCCATACCAGCCAGGCATGACCCTGGGCCGAGAATATGACCTGAAGACCTACAGTTCCGGCCTGGACCTATTCACAGACGAATCGATGTCCAAAGTGGAAAAAATAGATCGTCACCGGAATATAGCACACTATTCTGTAATCCAAAAAGCACAAGACGTGAAAGATATGCTTAACGTATCCGGGGAACTCTCACTGAAGGTCAAGGCCAACTTGGTCAAGGTTGAAGGAGCAGGGTCATATCTGAAGGAGTGCCGTAATGATGACAACACGCTGGAAATCATTGCTGTGTCCAACGTTGAAACGGTATGAATCTCTGGTCGTATTACCATGACGGTGTGATGGTTTCACGGTATGAGTCCGATAGGTGTCACTCGCAAGGTCATATGACTCGCATGACAGCATGACTCGATTGACTCTCCCGACAGTTTGACTCACATGACGTTCAATGGTATGAGTCGTATAACGAGACGATGGTATGCCTCGCATGACGGTACGATGGTATGAGTCGCATGACGGTACGATGGTGTGACTCGCATGACGGTACGATGGTGTGACTCGCATGACGGTACGATGGTATGAGTCGCATGACGGTACGATGGTGTGACTCGCATGACGGTACGATGGTATGACTCGCATGACGGTACGATGGTATGAGTCGCATGACGAGACGATGGTATGCCTCGCATGACGGTACGATTGTATGCCTCGCATGACGGTACGATGGTATGAGTCGCATGACGGTACGATAGTATGAGTCGTATGACGAGACGATGGTATGAGTCGCATGACGGTACGATGGTATGAGTCGTATGACGAGACGATGGTATGAGTCGTATGACGAGACGATGGTATGAGTCGTATGACGGTACGATGGTATGAGTCGCATGACGGTACGATGGTATGCCTCGCATGACGGTACGATGGTATGAGTCGTATGACGGTATGATGGTATGAGTCGTATGACGAGACGATGGTATGAGTCGCATGACAGTACGATGGTATGAGTCGCATGACGGTACGATGGTATGAGTCGCATGACGGTACGATGGTATGAGTCGCATGACGGTACGATGGTATGAGTCGCATGACGGTACGATGGTATGAGTCACATGACGGTACGATGGTATGACTCGCATGATGGTACGATGAGTCGCATGACGGTACGATGGTATGAGTCGTGTGACGGTATGATGGTATGTCGCATGACAGTACGATGGTATGAGTCGTATGACGGTACGATGGTATGAGTCGTATGACGGTACGATGGTATGTCGCATGACGGTACAATGGTGTGACTCAAATGACGGTACAATGGTATGAGTCGTATGATGGTACGATGGTATGAGTCGCATGACGGTACGATGGTATGACTCGTATGAGAGTACGATAGTATGATTCCCGTGACTCGTACACTGGTTTCAGACATATAACGGAATGACCCGCATAAAGTATGACGAGTATGACGCGTATAAATGCATGTCATTGACAAGAGTGATAAAAATTGCATACTGCGGGACGTTATGGGGGTATTGCTCGTATAAAGGTATAATTCGTGTGAAAACATCTCTCATGTAGTTTTATTTTAGGAACCACCTTGTGTAGTATGTTTTAAGATGCTTGGGCGAAAGATCAAAGACGACGACGGTACTTTATCCTGTGATAAAGTACATATTTTGAGTTTCATCATCCTGGGCGGAAGTCATATTTACTGTTTTGTTTTTACGACTTAGGGGACTTCTGTAAGGCGGGTTTCTGGGCTAACCTTCACATTTCACATCGGACATCGGGGCGGTCGGGTAGCCTAGTGGTTAAAGCGTTCGCTCGTCACGCCGAAGACCCGGGTTCTATTCCCGACATGGGTACAATGTGTGAAGCCCATTTCTGGTGTCCCCCGACGTGATATTGCTGGAACATTGCTAAAAGTTCGAAATATGTCACATATGTAATTCGTCAAAAAAAAGGAATTAATTAAAAAGGAATTTCTATTACAGGGAACAGAAACCATGAAAGAAACGAAGTTGAAGTCGGGTATAAAGAAAAAACTTAAAGGGAGCCATTTTGTCCGGAGCATCACATACGGAGGTGAATTGCTTGTTCGAATACGGATAAAGAATTCAGACAAAAAACAATTAAACGATATCCATGCTGATTTGAAAGGCAAACTATCATTCAAGGGCGTGGTCGATGCCGGAGCCAAAGCAAAGTTCAAGCAACTGGAAAACGACTTAAGCAGCAGCTCCGAGATCAACATCGACTACTTTTCTACAACACCGACTAGCTACATGCCACGAGATGTTGATGGGATGCTTCAAGTGCTGGATGACTTCAAACGTGAAGTAATGAAGCAAAATGATGGGAAAGGATGCCCATGCAGATGTGAGCTTGTACCTTTGAAATCCCTTTCATCCAACCTCCCAGACATGTTGAAGGACAAGGGCTTAGAGGTTCTTCTTGAACAACTCGAGGCAAATTTTGATGACCTCCTCGCGGCAAGGGATATGTTGGATTCATTTCTGGGAGACGTTGATGTTGAACTGACAGAAAGTCAAGAGGAAGAGGCTCGTGCCATTGAACAGCGTCTCGCGAAATTGCTACGGGTCTACCTGAAGGTAGTAGCAGAGCTGGACCTGACAAAGAAGAAGAGGAGACAGTCTGAACCAATTGATATGGCCTTCAAAGACTACGACTCCGAGAAGAAATTGGGTGGTTTCAGAAAGGAAGTCTCAAAGTTTATATCTAAATTGAAGTCACCCAAGGTAATAAAAATTGCCTTCAAGACAGATGTGTCAGAAAAATAATGCTGAAAAAGATAATTGTGATTTAGATACAGAAAAGGTCGAACAATGGTTCTTATTATGATGCAGTTGATATCCAATCAGTCGAATAGGCGTGTAGATATATCCGCAGAATATTATGTAGACTTAGGGTCTTTCGAGTGATATTTCTGTTAGATTTGTGACATATAAACATTTTTGTTATTGATGAAACATATTCCTCCTTAAAAAGGTCATGGGTGTCATTGCAGCGAAATGACCATTCTGTAGAGTTTTGTGCTTATGTCAAATCCGCTGGTTTCAAGTCAAGATTCCTCCCGATTATGATCCTTGGCCTGTGACAACCATAACATCTAAAGTTGATACGTCATAATGTAACTGGATTTCCAGCTCATAGAGCGATATGACTAACCTTAACCTTGTTGTTTTAGGAGAGCGTTACACCCGTGGCAGACCTACCCCCAGGGGAACCTTTGGATATAATTCTGATGGGTAAGACGAATCGTGGTGCCAGCACAACGGGAAACACAATTTTTGGAGAGAAAAAGTTTTCGAGCCAAATAAGAACAGCTACAATGCTCGTTCAGAATCTGAAGATCAGCGATGCAGTTGGGGGACGGGATCTTAATGTGCTTGATCTTGATGGCGCGGTTGATCAGGCTCTGACCCAGGATGTGATGGTCATGCTTCATCAATCTCGTGTGTGGTTCCGTCACGGCGTTCATGTGGTTCTACTGATCCTGTCCGCCACCGAGCGTCTGAGCAAGGAAGAGATCTCTGCAGTGGAGTCTCTCCGTCAGGCGGATCAGGACATCCTGAAGAAGCACGTCATCTGCGTCTTTACTCGCGGGGACTCATTTCACCGTCAGATGGAGCTGGATGGAAAATCGCTTACATTTAATCAGCATATAGAGTCGGCCAGCGGTCCAATGCGAATGTTACTGCAGGATTGTCAAAATCGTTACGTCTTATTCAACAACACTGAAGCAGATCTTGGGAAGAAAAGAGAAATGGTCATTGATCTTGTTAAACTGATTGACAGCCTAATGAGAGAGAATGGGGGAGAGAAATTGTCCCTAGGCCCTTGAAAACTTATCCGATGACAATGACTCTTGAATTGCTACCTTTAAGTTTGAGGCTTAGTGGTTCGGAGATTCACCTTTGGTTTGAAAATTGGAGAGTGCACCCCTCCTGGTGCATGCAATTTTCTATAGGAAATGGGAGAAAAGTTTCGACGTTGCCAATAGCTAGGAGCAGTTATAGCTAGCTCATTGCTGGTCATAAACAGCAAATCAGGATACCGTGTTTCCTGTATGACACCGGACCTCTTATAATCATCGAGTCTGGACTGAGCAATTTAATTGAAGGTTAATGTCGTGCCTTCAATACGATCCAGGTACGTCAGCATTCACTGACCTTTTGTGTGATATATCAACCCGCCTCCGTGTTGTGGTTTGAGCGTCTGTAGGGGCAGTTGAAGGTCGGTGGTTCGATCCCCTGGCCGCGCCGTACCATAAGATATGCCTTGTGCTCGGTATTTAGGTGATAAACACGGGCTGGTCGGCTTGGAGTCTGTGTCTGAGGGGGGTATTCATGTAACACTGTAGCACTATAAAACCGACATACGTCCGGACACGTACAGTAAGCTACTTTCACTTCACATATAATGTATCAGTGCATAGTTGCACTGTATGTAGTACGGTAATCTTGAAAGTAAATAATCTCAGCGTCTCTATGTACCAGTTACCACAGAGCCTCTATATATCGCCAGCTCAGTGTCCATTTTCACAGCTCTATTTACCACCGGGCCTGTATTTACTGTCTGTTGTGCGTTGGGGAAGCTGGGTGAAATATTTGGAAATACGGTACTGGGCCGCGATCCACATAGCGATCGAAGCGTTAAGACGATCGTAACTCCCACACTTTGTACTGATGTAGCATGGTAATCTTGATATTATACAACCGCCTCTATTTATCGTTAGGTCGGTGTCCATGTACAAATCTCAGTTTACCGCCGGAAACTGGCCGAAGTATTAGGAATTACGGTAATGAGGATTGTTGTTAGTGGGAGACCTCATCGTTAATTGTTTGCACATCATCCCTGTGAAGAATTTGAGTTACAATATTGTCAAAGTGGAAACAATCCACTTCAATCGTGTCCAAAATACCTAATTGTTTCAGTATGTTTCCAAAGTGATGTTAGTCTTTCTTTAACTGTTTTATATATTCAGTAAATGTTCAGCTTAGTTTCAACCGCCCTATCAACATACAGTAAACTACGGTTATAACGAACACGTTTATAACGAACTTACGGATATAACGAATTACTTTTTTGGTCCCAACTATTTGCTGTAGTTATGCTGTATATATGCTTATAACGAACTACGGTTATACCTAACTAAAATTAGTAGTCCCTTTGAGTTCGTTATAACCGTACTTTACTGTACAAGATTAATCAACGTATTAACGACGTCGTCAAGATTCCAACAACAAACTACCCCACCCCAATATATGTTCTTGTGCCACGATGTGTGAACACTGGTTGTCAGATGTGTACCTTGCACATTGACAGTGGTACGTTGTCTATTATCCAGCCATTGCTTCATGTGTGTTCATAGAGTAAACTACGGTTATAACGAACTCAAAGGGGCCACTAATGGTAATTCGAAATAACCGTACTTCGTTATAAGCATATATACAGCATATATACAACAAATGGCCGGGACTAAAAAAAAGGTTCGTTATATCGGTCAGTACGTTATAAGCGTGTTCGTTATAAACGTAGTTTATTGTATTTGGTAAACAGATGTGATGATGCAAAACAAAAGCTTTACAACCTATTTTTTATTAATCAGCTTGGTTCTTGTACATGTTCTACTGTTAAAAGCGGCGTTAAACCCAACTCACTCACTCACTCACTCACTCACTCACTCACTACACCATACATTTCGACCATCCACGGATTCTGCGGGCTCCGAGTCGCCATACTCAAATCAGATCCTGGTTGGAAGGATTTTTCTTATGATTTGTTGTTTGTTGTATTTTAACCATGACTCTAGGTTTATGCAAGTTTTTCAATACCGTTTATATTAATAAAACACTTTCTTTTTATTGCTGGGGGCAAGGGCGGCCAAGTCATCTTAGGCGCCGCGATTCGCTGTACAGAGTTACGTCCCTTGGGCACGCCAGAAACCTATGATTGTAGGTTTGAATCCCGGTTCGCCCCGATTATGTTTCTAGGTTTGTCAGCGCCATACCCGTGCTCTTGGGTTTCACCGAAGTGGTAAACGTCTGAGACCTTAATCACTTCGGGCTTTCCTCCCACATTAAGGTGACACGCCGTGATATAACTGGAATACTGTTAAAAGCGGCGTTAAACCCAACTCACTCACTCACTCTTTTTATTTCTTCATTTTTTCGCGCCTGTATATCTTACCTCATTTCATTTCCCTCATCTGAGTCATGGTCCTTACCTGTAGTAAATTCATGTCAACCTGTCGATGTCGCGTGCTTTTTTACTGTATATTGTTCTTTGAACATTGCTTCTATTTTCTTAACGCTTTTGAGGGCAAGGGGTCAACGACGGTCAGGGTTTTGCCATAGTGGTAGAGCGTCTGCCCGGTAAGCGGATGGTCTGGGGTTCGATCCCCGGCCTCGTCATACCAAAAAGACGTTAAAAGATGGTACTTGTTGTTACCCTGTCTGGCGATCGGGCTAAGACAAGGACAGGTCGGCTCGGAGTCAGTATACTTTGTCTGTGTGGGATATTCACGTTACACTGCGGCATGGTATCTCAGTGAGCCAGCACTATAAATCGGCATCAGTCCGGACTAACACACACACACACACACACACACACACACACACACACACACACACACACACACACACACACACACACACACACACACACACACACACGTCGCTATATAAGTACATTCTTGGACGCGACGTTAAACCTAATTTCACCACGCCTCATAGTTGAAACCACTTTAATAGGTTCTTTTTAAAACTCATCCAAGATATCGAACTGTTTCAATATCTTTCCAAAGTACACCGAAATTCTATCACCTCCTTACGTCGTCGGATCTTACTTCCGATCTTACATGGGTCATTGACCTTGCACCACGTGTTGTAATACCTCCACCTGCAAACTCTGAGAGACATGCTCAAACGCTGAAACCTGCTCAGATCATCTACAGGAGGAGACGGTTTGCGCAGCCAGTCATGGCGTCGGCTGCTGTCGCCGCACCACCGACGACTACGTCCTCGATGAATAATCACCGCCCGTCTTCCTGTATGTGTGCAGGGGCAGTCGGGTAGCCTAGTGGTTAAAAAAGCGTTCGCTCGTCATCCCGAAGACCCGGGTTCGATTCCCGACATGGGTACAATGTGTGAAGCCCATTTCTGGTGTCCCCCGCCGTGATATTGCTGGAATATTGCTAAAAGCGGCGTAAAACCATACTCAGTCAGTCAGTATGTGTGCAAAAGTGCTGTCATGTGTTTGTCATTACTTGTATCATTTCATTCGCCTCTTACGACAAGCATAGTCACTTTTTACGGCAAGCATGGCACACACCTCTGAAAGGGTCCGACCAGGTGGACTGTCCCACTTGTGGTGAGTAAACTGTTGTCTTGTAGAAATGTGAATGCGAATCAACATCTAAAACCTCTGATCGCAAGAGGTGATTCACTGACGACGATATGGCTACATGACAACGTTGTTTTACCAAAATTAGGTCACATTGTATTGCGTGAGTACCAACGTCTTCCCGAGGCAATGGAGTTAACCGACTTTTAAACTTCAAGGGGAAACTTGTCTGTGGAAGATCTTGAATAACATGACGCTGTAACAGAGCACAGTTGTTCCCGTGCAGTGTGGCACAGCTTGGCATCACACACGTGCATATACGTACAAACACACACAAACATGTACACCTCTCACAGCACACACACGTACCCACCCCCGGCACATACATACATGTGCACACACCCCACGCACACACACGTACACTGTAATCTGTAGTCGTGTATGTAATCTGTAGTGTACTATGTAAATCTGTAGCCTTGTATGTAATCTGTTGTGTACTATGTAATCGGTAGCCGTGTGTGTAATCTGTAGCCGTGTATGTAATCAGTAGTGTACTATGTAATTTGTAGCCGTGTGTGTAATCTGTAGCCGTGTATGTAATCCGTAGCCATGCATGTAATCCGTAGCCGTGCATGTAATCTGTAGCTGTGCATGTAATCTTAAGCCGTGTGTGTAATCTGTAGCCGTGTATGTAATCTGTAGCTGTGCATGTAATCCGTAGCCATGCATGTAATCCGTAGCCGTGCATGTAATCTGTAGCTGTGCATGTAATCTTAAGCCGTGTGTGTAATCTTAAGCCGTGTATGTAATCTGTAGCTGTGCATGTAATCCGTAGCCGTGCATGTAATCTGTTGCCGTGCATGTAATCTGTAGCCGTGCATGTAATCGGTAGCCGTGTTTGTAATCTGTTGCCGTGCATGTAATCTGTAGCCGTGCATGTAATCTGTAGCCGTGTATGTAATCTGTAGCCGTGTGTGTAATCTGTAGCCGTGCATGTAATCCGTAGCCGTGTGTGTAATCTGTAGCCGTGTATGTAATCTGTAGTGTACTATGTAAATCTGTAGCCGTTGATTTAATCGGTAGTGTACTATGTAATCTGTAGCCGTGTATGTAATCAGTAGTGCACTATGTAATCGGTAGCCGTGTATGTAATCTGTAGCCGTTCATGTAATCTGTAGCCATGCGTGTAATCCGTAGCCGTGCGTGTAATCTGTAGCCGTGCATGTAATCTGTAGCCGTTGATGTAATCTGTAGCCGTGTGTGTAATCTGTAGCCGTGTATGTAATCTGTAGCCGTGTATGTAATCTGTAGTCGTGTATGTAATCTGTAATCGACTCTGTAAGTTGAAGTGTATTCTGTAAGCTGTATTTTTAACTCTTCCTGGTCCCAGTTTGATCAAGGGAAAGAATGTTGACGAACACCAACGTGTAGGTCACGGGTGGGGCGAGAAGATGACGGCGTCAAGAATGTAAATATTTCACAACATACACAGTCACAGTCGTCATTGATATTTATCCTTGTAATGTAGAAAGTGTATTTTTTGTCATTGTTATTTAATAATATACACGGTAACTGTACAGTATGTATTACACGTAAAACCCGATCCAACACTTCCAGCCGATTGTCTGTGGAATGTCAATACGTGTACATAGAACGTCACCCCGTAACAATGATTCTAAAATCGGCAAATTTGCTAATCAAGACGATTTTATTGAGAAATCACAATTATGAGAGAAGATTTGGGTGATGTCTTAGGATGTTTTGACGCCACAACTCGCGTCTTTCCATAATAATAATAATAATAATAATAATAATAATACATGTAAGTGCATTTATAACGCGCCAGATTCCATTCACCAAGTGGATGCTCATGGCGCTGCACTTTTATTATCCTGGTCATTACTCGATTTTCATTCTCAGCTCCCTGGGGAGTAAACAACCGTAATCTATAGAAAGACGGCAAAAGTTTGAGTGAGCAACGTTAATGTACAAACGTGTGTCTAATTCTCTCCTTTCTGTCATTTAATGTTTCAATTGTAAAAAAGCATACATGTAAATCTAGTTTGTGATAACTTGTGCCCAGTCATGTTCTTGAGAATAGTATTATGTTTTAACTTTAAACTAAGGGACTCGTCATTTATTTTAGGGGGTTGGCGTGGGGATTGGGGTGAGGTTGGCCTCAGGATCCCCCCCGTCTCTCTCTCACACACACACACACACACACACACACACACACACACACACACACACACACACACACACACACACACACACACACACACACACACACACACACACACACACACACACACACACACACACACACACACACACACACACACACACACACACACCTCATTAATGACAAGTCCCTTAGTCACACATTGATGATTCGAGCGGCCCCGACTGTCATTCCGATTTCAACGAAAATACAAGAGTATTACATATAAATATACATCTCTCCTCTTACCTACATCGTGTTTGAAGAGATGTTACTTCAAACCGCCTGACTAAACACGGACCAGGAAGTGGGAGGCTTGTTGAACTTGCAGGAGTAGACGACAGCGAGTTAATGACGGTCGCCATACATAGACGGGGGAATTCTTTTCACAAAATCCATCATTGTCCCCGTGAAGATTTTACTCTCAGTCATCTTATATATTCGTGTAAGATAATATACCTGGTGACATATTTGAAAACATATTTGTTTCTATCTGTTCATATCACGATGATCTCGGGCTTCATATGAGATACAAAGTTGCCTAAAAGCCTTCAAATAGGAGTTCAATTTGCACAGAGGAAGTTTAGCCGCCCTTTGTAAATATTGGTATATCACTGTGCGTCGTGGGGTATGTTTTCTGTTCATTGTGTCCAAGTTTTCATTCCCGCTAAAACAAATTCAGGACCCATGGGATTCTTGGAAAAATGTTAACACAAAGACAGGAGTCCCTTATTTAAAACATATGATGACGTAGAAAACCTTCCACGTTTCACATGACTTGCACTTGACTGGGTAAATCCCTCAACAACACATTTAAATATTTTGTTTAACTTATCCAATATTTAACGAGAAGGGCATATGCACAACTTAAAAACGTTGCCAAAACTCATTCACTATTCAATAATCAAAATTTGTCAAAAACTAGTTTTCCCTGCTTTTGTTAATAACTTAATATTATATTTCAAGATCTATCGAAAACAGGACAGAACACGTGACATACGACGTGCGTTGTCACTATAAGTAAACGTGATGTCAATCTGTCCTTGTATTGTGTGAATCCAAAAGATGGGCTGAAGATGATCCAAAAAACGATGTACATAAAGAGCACCTCTCAACCGGAGTACGCCACTGAGCTTCAGCCGAGACTTGAGGATGGAGGTACTGACGTGTGCACTTACCCTTGTTGCCTGTGTTCTGCTTGTGGATGCAGCTCCTCCTACGGACACAGCGCCTCCTTTTCGCCCTACTTATGAGATACAAGGTGTGTATCAGAGTTTGAGTTGGTATGACTACATCCCCGTGTATGGGTTTAACGCTTAAGAAACATTTGTAATATTCTCTTTAATCACCAGAACAACTGTAAAATATCTCTCACTTTTAAAGGACGACTTTATCTTAAAATCAGTTCATCATCTGAGTATAGACAATGCCTGTGTGACGCAACACCCCTTGTTGCAGCGCGAGAAATCGCGATAAACATGGCCGTCCGAAAACGTATGATGTCCGAAAACCCATGATCCGACGATATATTGGGGACATCCTATTAACCTGCAACTCTTTATATCTATTTTACGATTCACGTTCAATTGAAAATATAACGATAATTGTTTAGTTCAGGTGAAGAAATTAACAGTCGTTACTACTTATAAACACATCAGGGGCGGTCGGGTAACCTGGTGGTTAAAGCGTTCACTCGTCACGCCGAATACCCGGGTTCGATTCCCGACATGGGTACAATGTGTGAAGCCCATTTCTGGTGTCCCCCGACGTGATATTGTTGGAACATTGCTAAAAGCGGCGTAAAACCATACTCACTGACACTATAAACACATCGCAGTTACACGAGTGAATGGATGTTTTTTGAAAGACTATGCCACTACAATAATCCAGCTGATGTTACTGTATCCCTTCATCCGATCGTCTTTTAATAGTCGTTTTTCTTTATGTCACTGTCGGTGGCCACGGATCTTCCTCAAAGAAAAGTCTGCCAATGTGCGTTTTAGAATTTTTAGCGCAAATCTACATCTCCGATTGGCTACAAATCAAAACTAGATTTAACGTGTGCTTCCTATCTCTTCGTTAATCACTAACCTCAATACAACCTCTGAACTCAAACTCGGAACAAAGATCCATGATAAAAAATACAAAAGCGGTGGTGTTTTTTAAGGGCCGCCATCTTACCGGTTTCGATCTGAATTCCATATTCAGAGATAAGTTATGATAAAATGAACTTAACGTATTTGAAGATATAAGTGCTTAAGATAGAGAATTTCGTCGCCTCTTACAACAATCACTGGATACAAGGGATCTACTGTGCCCTGACTCGAACGGAGATCTACTGAACGTGCATGGTGATAACATCCTTATTGATTCGTACACAGATGGCGTTAATCAGTTTTCATGCCATCACCCATTGAAATATCAGGATTTTGTTGTCAATGACGTAATGTACGGACCATTGTTGACGAAATGCAGATTTAAAAACAAATCATAGCGCTGTTTCGAAATTTTACACCAACAATTACACAAGACTCGGTGGGCAAGCCAGAGTTTTTAAAATTATTTTTCTGGTTCCCGTCCGCGTTGGTCCTTTTATTTTCCGGATGTTTAACAAAGGGCAGGTAACTCTAACATTATTTTCTAAAAACGAACGTAGAAATTGGTAATGGCGCACGTGTCAGTGCATGGTGTCTGTCAGGGGATAGTTTTCAGGCTTGTCGAGTGCATTTTAGACATCATGCTACTGAACCTTTATGAATCGCTACGAATTTTTTTTATCTTATCAAGGAGACAACCACTTTTTCCCACCAGGATACGAAGATTGTAAATGACATGCAAACGAGCATGTCTCAAAAGAATCCTAAAACCCGATTTATCGCGTCAGTTTAGGACATACCGAAAGTTCAGACATATAATACTTTTATTTTGGTCCTAATCACCCACCAGCATCGATATAATTTAGTTACTTAACTTAGTCCGTCATCTGCAGATATCTACCTCGTGGGTTCGAATCCTAAATCCACCCTCAGTATGTTTCTAGCTTGATTTGCATTCTACTGATGCTCTAGGTTTACAATGAAATGGTAAGCGTCTGAAATCTGCGTCACTTCGGGCTTTCTTTGCCAACACAACGTGATATAGGCTATAACTGGAACCCCCTTTAAGGTCTTGGTTAGAATTGGTCTTCAGCAACCCGTGCTTGTCGTAAGATGGTCATGCTCGCTGACTTGGTTTATGCATGTAACCCAATTGCGTAGATCGATGTTCATGATGGCAATAACTGGATTGTCAGATCCGGATTCAACTATTTACAGACCGCCGTCATACAGCTGGAATATTGCTGAGTGCGGCGTTAAACAACAAACAGCCATGTGATACCGTTAAAAGCGACGCTAAACCAAACCCATTCACTGATTCACTGTATTTGCTTTTCCAGCTACCATCCTGCCAAGGATTTTTGACTCCCTCTGTCGTATCTGTGCCCAGTTCAACTTACCATGCAGAGGAATTCGATGTTATAATTCATGATGCGGGCACGGCAACACACAGGAAACTCAACACCCGTGAACTATGTGACATGGCTACCACACAGAACAGAACATAGTTAAGAAGAATATCCTGGTGTCTAGCCTATTCCATGTCAACAATACCATGTCATCGGTTATCACACAAAATGTTTTGATTATCTTGTTATAATCATTTGTACTGAAAATATTATATCCCCACTGAAATCAGTTGTTATACTTGATGAGAATCGTGTTATCTGAATATATTTGTGAAAACAAGCCCAAATTAGTGTTTACTTGTTCATTATTATTTTCATACGAACCTTGCCACTTTGCAGATGTCAGTGGTAAGTGCATTCGTGACCACTCGTGTCATTCCGGGATTAGTTGAACGGCGACTCATGCCCCTCTCGTGGTCATTTTACCAACTTGGTCATGTCTTCGCGCAAACGAGCATAGCGAAAAACACAGTTTTGTTCTTACTCAGCCGTCATTGCTGGAGCTGTTAGGTAGCCCAGTGGTTAATGCGTTCGTCACACCGGATGCACTGGTTCGATTCCCTACATGGAAACAAGGTGTGAATCCTATTTGGTGTGTCCCCTGCCGTTACTGTCACTCACTCACTCGTCATTGCTTTGTAATTTTGACACGATTGCCATTTGTTATTCAGTATGGTGAAAAGAATTTGACTGTCACTTTGATTCATGATAAATACAAACTGTATCTAAAATAAAATCGAGCATGCCGTGTTAAGCATTCATTTGTAGTTGGCAGGAAGGAGAGTTGGGCGAGGTGGAACGAAATACGGAAGAGGCATACCGTATTCGACGTAATAAGCGCCCAGGGCGCTCCCCCTATTAGAAATAGGGGGCTCTTATTAGAATATTATTTTGGTGAAAAAAACAGTTTAAAGATAAATTTCGTGGTTTATGCTGACAGCCTGAATGTTCATGTACGACAGATATATTTTTCCAGAATTTAATTGCCCATAATAAAGGTTGCATATAACACACGAATGCGTATCATACGCGAATAAATAAGTCTTGTGTACATTGATCAATCGGAAGGGGTGCTAATTGGGATTGTTCACTAGCCAATATATTAGCAAACATCGCCGTGGGCGCTTATTAGAGCGGGGCGCTTATTACGTCGAATACGGTAATATGCCTTTGTCAGTTACGTGAACCCACAAAGATCCGGGTTAGAATTGGTGTCTATCAACCAATGCTTGTCATAAGAGGCGACTAACGGGATCGATTGTTCAGACTCGCTGACTTGGTTGATGCATGTCATCGTATCCCAATTGCGTGGATCGATGCTCGTGATATCAATCCCTGGATTGTCTGGTCTTAGCTCGATTATTTACAGAGCTCCGTCATGTAGCTGTAACGTTAAACAAGAAACACACACACAGATTGTGTTGGACCACTTACCGCAGTTAGACACTTGTCCAGTACTGTTCACAGCAGGTGACTCTTCGAGTTGCCAGGATATTACGTAATATTAGCAGAAACTAGTGCGGCGTTAAACAACAAACAAACAGTTATTTAACCACAACTGACAGCAAGTCGTATGGCTTTAAAGGTTATTGAAAAGGGGCGAGAAGTGACGAATCTGGTAAGAGAGCATCCATTTGATATGTATGTGTATGTTGGTGTTATTTTTTAGAACAATCCATTTTTTTTCCCGCTATATCAAACAACTATTAATTTATTGAAAATCATCAAACGATTTTGGAAATATTTCTGAAAAAAAAATTCATTTAAAACATCTTCCCAGCCCCGAAAAGAAATCCAATGGATGCTCCCTAACTGGCCGTTGATGCCAAGCTGTGACACACTGCACGGGAACCATTGTGCACTGTTACAGCGTCATGTTATTCCAGATCTTCCACAGACATGTTTCCCCTTGAATTTTAAAAGTCGGTTAACTCCCTTGACTCGGGAAGACGTTGGTACTCCCGCAATACAATGTGACCTAATTTTGGTAAAACAACGTTGTCATGTCGTCATATCGCCGTCAGTGAATCATCTCTTGCGATCAGAGGTTTCAGATGTTGATTCGCATTCACATTTCTACAAGACAGCAGTTTACTCACCACAAGTGGGACAGTCCGCCGGGCGGAGCCTTTCAGAGGTGTGTGTGTGTGTGTGTGTGTGTGTGTGTGCTTGTGTGCTTGTGTGATATTACGCAAATTTGAACAGGTGGGGAGTTTTTGCCACAGAGAGTGTGTGTGTGTGTATGTGTGAGAGTGTGTGTATGTGAATGTGTGTGTGTGTGTGAGAGAGTGTGTGTGTAAGTGGTGTGTGTGTGTGTGAGAGAGAGAGAGCGTGTGTGTGTGTGTGTGCGAGTGTGAATGTGTGTGTGAGAGTGCGAATGCCGGTGAATGTGTGTGTGTGTGTGTGTGAGAGAGAGAGCGAGTGTGAATGTGTGTGTGTGTTTGAGAGAGAGAGAGAGAGTGTGTGTGTGTGTGAAAGAGAGAGTGTGTAAGTGGTGTAAATTCATTGTAACTTTATTACGTTGTTTCCACTGGAATATTTATTGTAACTAACCTAGTTTGTATCTTGTGTGAATACTCACTCGGGTAATGTATTATTTAGTTAGAGTGTGTGTGTGTGAGAGAGAGAGAGAGCGAGTGTGTGCGAGTGTGAATGTGTGTGTGAATACCCACTCGGGTAATGTATTGCGACTAACGTGTGTGTGTGTGTGAATACCCACTCGGGTAATGTATTAGTTAGTGTGTGTGTGTGTGTGTGTGAGAGAGAGAGAGTGTGTGCGAGTGTGAATAGCGAGTGTGTGTGTGTGTGCGAGTATGAATGTGTGTGTGTGAAAGAGCAGAGAGAGAGTGTGTGCGAGTGTGAATGTATGTGTGTGTGAGAGAGAGCGAGTGTTTGTGTGTGTGCGAGTGTAAATGTGTGTGAGGGTGTGTGTGTAAGTGGTGTAAGTTCAATGTAACTTTATTACGTTGTTTCCACTGGAATATTTATTGTGACTAAACTAGTTTGTATCTTGTGTGAATACCCACTCGGGTAATGTTTTAGTTAGTTAGAGAGTGTGTGCGTGTGTGTGCATGTGTGCGTGTGAGCGAGTGTGTGTGCGAGTGTGAATGTATGTGTGTGAGGGAGAGAGTGTGTGCGAGTGTGAATGTGTGTGTGAAAGAGAGAGAGTGTGTGTGTGAATGTGTGAGAGTGTGTGAATGTGTGCGAGTGTGTGTGTGTGAGAGAGAGAGAGCGTGTGTGTGTGTGTGTAAGTGGTGTAAGTTCGGGTAGTGTATTAGTTAGAGTGTGTGTGTGAGAGAGAGAGAGTGTGTGTGAGTGTTCGAGTGTGTGTGATTGTGTGTGTGTGTGTGAGAGAGAGAGAGAGAGAGAGTGTGTGTTTTAATGGTGTAAGTTCAATGTAACTTTATGACGTTGTTTCCACTGGAATATTTATTGTGACTAAACTAGTTTGTATCTTGTGTGAATACCCACTCGGGTAATATATTAGTTAGTTAGAGAGTGTGTGCGTGTGTGTGTGCGTGTGTGTGTGTGTGTGTGTGTGAGTGAGCGAGTTTGTGTGCGAGTGTGAACGTATGTGTGTGAGGGAGAGAGTGTGTGCGACTGTGAATGTGTGTGTGTGTGTGAGAGTGTGTGTGTGTGTGAATGTGTGAGAGAGTGTGTGCGAGTGTGAATGTGTGCGAGTGTGTGTGTGTGAGAGAGAGAGAGTGTGTGTGAGTGTTCGAGTGTGTGTGAATGTGTGTGAGAGAGAGAGAGAGAGAGTGTGTGTGTAAGCGGTGTAAGTTCAGTGTAACTTTATTACGTTGTTTTCCCTGGAATATGTATTGCGACTAACATAGTATCAGGTAGAGTGTGTCGGGTATATTATATTCAGTCCTATGTCAAGTGTTGTATGTTGTAGAATAAGGATCCTGCTGTATATAATTCAATATGTATCAATCATTCTCAATCCTTATAGCATGTTCATTAGATGTTCGTCGTACGAATGTACACGTATGATTGATTGTAAACATTGAGATATAATTGACTGCTGAAAAATGACTCTGTGGCGACTTATACACTCACTGTCTGTTCACTCGGGTCTCGTGTTGTTGTGTGGGATGGTCGTGTACAGTGGTACCTCTGCTTTGTGAGTTGATCACCAATCTCGCGGCCCGTGAAGATCCGGGGTAGAACAGGTCATCAGCAACCCATGCTTGCCGTAAAAGGCGACTAACGGGATCGGGTGGTCAGCGTCGCTGATTTGGTTGATGCACGTCATCTATCTCAATTGCGTGGATCGATGCTCATGATGTCAGTCACTGGATTGTCTAGTCCAGACTCGATTACTTACAGACCGCCGTCATATAGCTGGAATATTGCTGAGTGCGGCGTTAAGCAACAAACAAACCAATCTCGCGGGTTTATATACACCATCTGATTCTCCGTTTGAATCCACCAGGCTTACCCTGACCTGTCTCTTTGTGAACATATTGCATCTAGTGAGGAAGCCCTTCATCCACGGAAGCTGTGCAACCCCATACAGAAGCGTCTTTGGAAGAGATTATCTTCCGAAATTACACACCAGTCAATTAACAGTGCATTACAAGCACTTTGGGTAGGTTCTTCCTCAGCGAGGCAGGACTCAGTCAACTTTATACTCGACCTTTGAAATGAGTTAAGTAAAGATCTTTTAGATGTTTAATTTTCATGGATCCCTGCTCATGTTGGACTACTTGGAAGTGAGAAGGCTGAAAAATTGGCGAAAGCTGCATTAGAATTTGATGAATCAGAACAGAATGACTCAATTTACCTTCTGCAGAATTAGACACCGTCAGTATGACCCATGCTAAAAAAAATGGCAACAAAAATGGGCAACATCCTTAAAAGGACGTCATCTCTCCTTTTATTAATACAGTAAACTACGTTTATAACGAACACGCTAATAACGAACTGACGGATATGACGAACTATTTTTTTGTCACAGCCACTGCTCTATATATGCAGTTCATATGCTTATAACGAACTCCGGTTATAACGAATAAACATTAGTGGCCCCTTTGAGTTTGTTATAACCGTAGTTTACTGTACATTACAAATATCTCGAAACAATCGGAGAGAGGAGATTCTCCTTATCAGACATCGTCTTGGACATTGTGGTCTTAGTGGATATCGCCATGTTCTTTATAAAGACCTTTCTGCACATTGTACAGTGTGTAATCAGCTTGTCAATGTGGCTCACTATTTACTGCATTGACAAAAATATGTAAATCAACGTATGGCAATGGTGGAGTCTCTCAAAGTTCTCAACACTGACCTGGGCGGTCGGGTAGCCTAGTGGTTAAAGCGTTCGCTCGTCACGCCGAAGACCCTGGTTCGATTCCCGACATGGGTACAATGTGTGAAGCCCATTTCTGGTGTCCCCCGCCGTGATATTGCTGGAATATTGCTAAAAGCGGCGTAAAACCAAACTCACTCACTCACTCACTCAACACTGACCTCTCATTGGCTGGACTTTAATGTTCTAATAATATTGTTCGCCATGACGTTCAGAATGTCATTCTTGCTTATATGAAAGCGAGTGGCAGTTTTACTACGTTATTCTCATTTACAATGCCAAGTTCAAGGTCGTAAGTCGACGCGGCGATGACCGCTGTGATCTTTCAACAAAATAATTTGTGAGTGATGCTCTGAAACTTTGTAAAGCAACGATGCTCAAACTATTCCGATACAAGTGGAGTCCGAATATTCTATTTCAAAGTATATTTGGTCGCGATTTCTGCAGATCACGGGCAACTGTTAAAGTTAATGGACTTGACATATGCAAGTAGAATATGTCGATATTACTGTTTTGAGATCTTTTTGTAGTGTGTCTGTGAATTACTGGTGTTTTGTGAAAAATGGTAGTGACTTTTCGGGAGTAGAGTAGACGTTGCAGAGTACAGGTGCACAGTGATTACGACGGCTCCATTCGAATGGCCACCTAATGCCAAAAATAGTCCCGTCCGCATGTGATGTTATTACGTACGAAAGCCCATCAGGACCATATTGGTATTTTGTTTTTTCTCTTTTAAAAGTCGTAATTACGACTTTTTTTCTCGAAATTACGACTTTTAAAAGAGAAAATAAACAAAATACCAATATGGTCCTAATGGGCTTTCGTAATTACGCAAAGTGTAAGAAAGATGTATTTTTATTCAACGGATGAGTAATACGCAGGTGTACCAAATAACAAAGAAAGATACATTTACAGAAAGAGACTATAACAGTTTTAGTATTCCAACAACGTTCAGAGTAAAGAATGCCTTGATCTTGCTTCACAATACTGTTGCAATACAGACCTACATTTCAAACGATATGTGTTATTCTGATCACTAATACTTCAGCTTGAACGTGACCGCCTCCGTGGTATAGTGGTAGAGCGTCCGCCCGGAGAGCGGAAGGTCCGGGGTTCGATCCCCGTCCGCGTCATACCAAAAGACGTTAAAAGATGGTACTTGTTGTTACCCTGTCTGGCGCTCGGCATTAAGGGGCTAAAACAAGGACTGATCGGCTCGGAGTCAGTATACTGTGTCTGAGTGGGGTATTCATGTTAAACTGCGTATTAAACTGGTATCTCAGTGAGCTAGCACTATAAATCGGCATCAGTCCGGACTAGTACAAGCAGCCACACACACACGCACACACGTGCATGCACGTCGCTAAGTGCAATAATCTTGGACGCAACGTTAAACCCAATTTCACCTCACCTCACCTCTTTTAGATAGATAACCTGAAATATTTCCCATCTGCTCGAAAAGCTGAAACATTTGCTCCAGAACATTCCTTTGATGCCGAGTCTTCATTGAAGGTGCATTGCGCACAAAACCAGCCTCCCTGTGATGGATTTGACATGGGTTTTGGGTTACATATGACAGGCCTCACGGTGAGGGGAAGTGTGGTTTAACCTCGCGGTCAAGATATGTGCACTTGAAAGCGGCGTGACAAACCTCAAGGCAATGTAAACGTATTTACCTTTCAAACAATCCCAGAATCCGAGGGGCTCAACCCCGATTAACCAGCTGGCAAATATATGTATAACGTCGTAGTCGGAGTTTGTATACCATTATCTGAAGTGGCCACGCACTCGACAAGCCGAATGGTGACGAAAATGGGCAATGGGCGACGAATGCTCCCTTCGTGAACACTCGCGCCTTTCCGGAACGAAACGAACCCTATTTTTGGCTCCGGAAACTTTCAACTCTTTGTTACGGAACAGTGCGACGTTTGGTGGACAATTCCGAAGATGAAGTATATTCACAGCGTTTAGAGAATGTGTCATTCTGCTTCAGCGGCTGCGGGATGAAGCTGTGGACAAGTGCTCTGCTCCTGTGTGTTCTTGCTGCCATGGTGACAGCAAGACCTGACAGCCATGGTAGAGTCGGCCGTGTTGACAGGAGACCTACTGAGGGCCCTAGTAATCCATGTAAGTAGACATGTAGACATGTATAGTATTTTTATCATGATGTCTGATGAAAATGCTCATAAAATAAACAGAGAGGAAGGCACGTGTGATTGCCTTAACATTCCGATATGCTTGGAGTTGGGTAAAAGAAATCAATCCATGTGTCTCTCTGCCTCTGTCTCTGTCTCTCTCTGTGTGTCTGTCTCTCTCTGTGTCTCTCTGTGTCTGTCTCTCTCTCTGTGTGTCTCTGTCTCTCTGTGTCTCTCTCTGTATCTCTCTCTGTGTGTGTCTGTCTCTGTGTCTCTCTCTCTGTGTGTCTGTCTGTCTGTGTGTCTGTCTCTCTCTGTGTGTGTCTCTGTCTCTCTGTGTGTGTCTTTGTCTCTCTCTGTGTCTCTGTCTCTCTCTGCCTCTCTGTGTGTCTTTGTCTCTCTCTGCCTCTCTGTGTGTCTCTGTCTCTCTCTCTGTGTCTCTCTCTGTGTGTCTCTGTCTCTCTCTCTCTGTGTCTCTCTCTGTGTCTCTGCCTCTCTGTGTGTCTCTGTCTCTCTCTCTCTGTGTCTCTCTGTGTGTGTCTCTGTCTCTCTCTCTCTCTGTCTCTCTATGTGTCTCTGCCTCACTGTGTGTCTCTGTCTCTCTCTCTCTGTCTCTCTCTCTCTGCCTCTCTGTCTCTGTGTCTGTCTCTCTCTCTCTGTGTCTCTGCCTCTCTGTGTGTCTCTGTCTCTCTCTCTCTGTCTCTCTGCCTCTGTGTCTGTCTCTCTCTCTCTGTGTCTCTGCCTCTGTGTGTCTGTCTCTCTCTCTCTGTCTCTCTCTGTGTCTCTCTCTCTGTGTCTGTCTCTCTCTCTCTGTGTCTCTGCCTCTCTGTGTGTCTCTGTCTCTCTCTCTGTGTCTCTCTGTGTGTGTCTCTGTGTGTGTCTTTGTCTCTCTCTGTGTCTCTGTCTCTCTCTGCCTCTCTGTGTGTCTCTGTCTCTCTCTGCCTCTCTGTGTGTCTCTGTCTCTCTCTCTCTGTCTCTCTGTGTGTGTCTCTGTCTCTCTCTCTCTGTGTCTCTCTGTGTGTGTCTCTGTCTCTCTCTCTCTCTGTCTCTCTATGTGTCTCTGCCTCACTGTGTGTCTCTGTCTCTCTCTCTCTGTCTCTCTCTCTCTGCCTCTCTGTCTCTGTGTCTGTCTCTCTCTCTCTGTGTCTCTGCCTCTCTGTGTGTCTCTGTCTCTCTCTCTCTGTCTCTCTGCCTCTGTGTCTGTCTCTCTCTCTCTGTGTCTCTGCCTCTGTGTGTCTGTCTCTCTCTCTCTGTCTCTCTCTGTGTCTCTCTCTCTGTGTCTGTCTCTCTCTCTCTGTGTCTCTGCCTCTCTCTGTGTCTCTGTCTCTCTCTCTGTGTCTCTCTGTGTGTGTCTCTGTGTGTGTCTTTGTCTCTCTCTGTGTCTCTGTCTCTCTCTGCCTCTCTGTGTGTCTCTGTCTCTCTCTGCCTCTCTGTGTGTCTCTGTCTCTCTCTCTCTGTCTCTCTGTGTGTGTCTCTGCCTCTCTGTGTGTCTCTGTCTCTCTCTCTGTCTCTCTCTCTCTGCCTCTCTGTCTCTGTGTCTGTCTCTCTCTCTCTGTGTGTCTCTGCCTCTCTGTGTGTCTCTGTCTCTCTCTGTCTCTCTGCCTCTGTGTGTGTCTCTGTCTCTCTCTGTGTCTCTGCCTCTGTGTGTGTCTCTGTCTCTCTCTGTGTCTCTCTCTCTGTCTGTCTCTCTCTCTGTGTGTCTCTCTCTGAGTCTCTGTCTCTCTGTGTGTGTCTTTGTCTCTCTCTCTGTGTCTCTGTCTCTCTCTCTGCCTCTCTGTGTGTCTTTGTCTCTCTCTCTGTCTCTCTCTCTGTGTCTTTGTCTTTCTGTGTGTCTCTCTCTGTGTGTGTCTTTGTCTCTCTCTGTGTCTCTCTCTGTGTGTCTTTGTCTTTCTGTGTGTCTCTCTTTCTGTGTGTCTGTCTCTCTCTATGTGTGTCTCTGCCTCTCTGTGTCTCTCTGTGTGTGTCTCTGTGTGTGTCTCTCTGTGTGTGTCTTTGTCTCTCTGTGTGTCTCTGTCTCTCTCTGCCTCTCTGTGTGTCTCTGTCTCTCTCTGTGTCTCTCTCTGTGTGTCTGTCTCTCTCTCTGTGTGTCTCTGTCTCTCTCTGTGTCTCTCTCTGTGTGTCTGTCTCTCTCTCTGCCTCTCTCTCTCTGTGTCTCTCTCTGTGTGTCTCTGTCTCTCTCTGTCTCTCTCTGCCTCTCTGTGTGTCTGTCTCTCTCTGTGTGTCTGTCTCTCTCTCTCTGTGTGTCTGTCTCTCTCTGTGTCTGTCTCTCTCTGTGTGTCTGTCTCTCTCTCTGTGTCTCTGTCTCTCTCTGTGTCTCTCTCTGTGTGTCTGTCTCTCTCTCTGTGTGTCTCTGTCTCTCTCTCTGTGTGTCTCTGTCTCTCTCTGTCTCTCTCTCTGCCTCTCTGTGTGTCTCTGTCTCTCTCTGTGTGTCTCTGCCTCTCTGTGTGTCTGTCTCTCTTTGTGTCTTTGTCTCTCTCTGTGTGTCTGTCTCTCCCTCTGTGTGTCTCTCTCTGAGTCTCTGTCTCTCTGTGTGTGCCTTTGTCTCTCTCTCTGTGTCTCTGTGTCTCTCTCTTCCTCTCTGTGTGTCTTTGTCTCTCTCTCTGTCTCTCTGTCTGTCTTTGTCTCTCTCTTCCTCTATGTGTGTCTCTGTCTCTTTCTGTGTCTCTCTCTGTGTCTGTCTCTCTCTGTCGCAGAGATTTCTTTTGACAATGACAGGGGTGTGCCGCCTTTAATTAACGTATCTCCAGTGGTTCAGACTGACTGAGTGTCCATTTCTACCTGGTAAAGGCGGGAGTGCCTAGGAATGTAACTATGGAATCACCCAGTCGTTACTTCTGTACACATTTGGAATGTTACACCCTTCAAGTATTATGGTAATGATTAACGCTCCGTGCCGTCTTAAAATGACCAATTCATCTTTACAAACTTGGAATATTACACCCCAATGTATTGTGATAAGGCAGAGATTTGGGTAAATGAACCGCAGTGACTCCGTACTATCTGTTAATATGTTATCTGTTAATATATTATTTGTTAATATGTTATTTGTTATTATGTTATTGTTAATATGTTATCTGTTAAAATAAAGGGGCACGTGTGGCCTCATCGTCAAAGGCGCCGCAATTCGCTGTACCGAGTTGCGTCCCTTGGGCGCGCAGGAGCCTATGATCTTTGGTTCGCCCCGATTTTGTTTCTAGGTTTGTCCGCACCATATCCGTGCTCGTGGGTTTCACCGAAGTGGTAAACGTCTGAGACCTGCATCACTTCGGGCTTTCCTCCCACATTAAGCTTACACGACGCGATATAACTGGAATACTGTTAAAAGTGGCGTTAAACCCAACTCACTCGCTCTGTTAATATGATTGTATTATGGTTTCAGATGGGGCGCTGTCGATGTACTATGACATACTCTGCTTCTACTGTAGGATGACAAACTTAACATGCCGGAATTTGGACTGCTACACGTTTGGTAGGAAATGAAGAATGATAAAGTTCTTTGCAGAAGCATCGTTCTGAAGATACAATACTTTACAATTGTGTATTAACAGGCATCGTTCTGAAGATAAAGTTCTTGACAGATATGGAACAAGCGTCGTTCTGAAGATGCAATACTTTACAATTGTGTATTAACAGGCATCGTTCTGAAGATAAAGTTCTTTACAGATGTGGAACAAGCATCGTTCTGAAGATGCAATACTTTACAATTGTGTATTAACAGGCATCGTTCTGAAGATAAAGTTCTTGACAGATATGGAACAAGCATCGTTCTGAAGATGCAATACTTTATAATTGTGTATTAACAGGCATCGTTCTGAAGATAAAGTTCTTTACAGATGTGGAACAAGCATCGTTCTGAAGATGCAATACTTTACAATTGTGTATTAACAGGCATCGTTCTGAAGATAAAGTTCTTTACAGATGTGGTACAAGCAGGACATACTTCCCCTTTTCGCGAACACCCGGTGTCATTTCTGATTTTCGGTGATCAATTCATATAATTTCCACCCAATGGAATCGGTTTCGTCGCATAATCGAGATTCTCTGGTGTAAACGTTATATATTTACATTTCTTTTCATGTTTTTGAATTATCAATTGAGGAGAATAATTAATTGATTAGTATATTATTTATCCGACCCAGTTTTGTCTTACGTGCTTGGTAAAATAACCAGTGAATGTCCTCATATTTATTCTTGGAAAGAACAAAACAGAAATCCATGCTTAATTACTACCATTAACATATCAAAGTTCAACAGATGCGTGTATGCGTACGTGCGTGGATGGGTGCTCATCCGTCGCGCACATTTCAAATGATTCTGAGGACACAAGCCACTTCAAAGCTGTACAACACAGACGCATATACTTCAGTCACTTGTCGAGCGGAAGGAGTTCAAACGGAGTTTCATAAACGCGGAGTGTTTGATAACGATAGAATGAAATGGTTTACGAAAATTGATCTTTGAAAATAGAAAAATATTCTTATATTGTTCGTTCGTTGTTTAACGCAACACTTGGCAATATCTCAGCTATGTGACGGCGGTTTGTAAATAATCCAGACAATCCAGTTACTGACATCCACGCCATTGGGATCGATGACATGCATCAACCAAGTCAGCGAGCCTGACCACCCGATCCCGTTAGTCGCCTCTTACGACACGCATGGGTTGCTGCAGACCTATTCCAACCCGGATCCTCACGGGTCAATCTTCTTATAGATATAATTAAACATTAAGGTGTAGCGACGTGGTGACGATTAAGCCAACGGCATCTCATGTGAAGTGAAGTGCAGGGCGACACTGTCGTGTTGTATATAGTGTAAAGCTACACTGTAGTGTTGTATATAGTGTAAAGCTACACTGTAGTGTTGTATATAACTAGTGAAGTGGAGGGCTTCATTGTAGTGTTGTGTATAACGTATATCGTTTAGGGCTCCACTTTCGTGTTGTATCTAATGTAGGGCTATACTGTAGTGTTGTATATAGTGTAAAGCTACATTGTAGTGTTGTATCTAGTGAAGGGCTACACTGTAGTGTTGTATATAACTAGATAAGTGGAGGGCTTCATTGTAGTGCTGTGTATCACATATATATCGTTTAGGGCTCCACTTTAGCGTTGTATATAGTCTAGGGCTCCCCTGGAGTGCTGTGTATAGTGTAGGGGTACACTGTAGTGTTTTATATAACTAGATAAGTGGAGGGCTTCATTGTAGTGCTGTGTATCACGTATATCGTTTAGGGCTCCACGTTAGTGTTGTATATAGTCTAGAGCTCCACTGGAGTGCTGTTGTTATAGTGTAGGGCTACACAGTGTTGTATAAAACTAGATAAGTGGAGGGCTTTATTGTAGTGTTTTGTATCACGTATATCGTTTAGGGCTCCACTTTAGTGTTGTATATAGTCTAGGGCTCCACTGGAGTGCTGTGTATAATGTAGGGGTACACTGTAGTGTTGTATATAACTAGATAAGTGGAGGGCTTCATGGTAGTGCTGTGTATCACGTATATCGTTTAGGGCTCCACTTTAGTGGTGTATATAGTCTAGGGCTCCACTGGAGTGCTGTTGTTATAGTGTAGGGCTACACAGTGTTGTATATAACTAGATAAGTGGAGGGCTTCATTGTAGTGTTTTGTAACACGTATATCGTTTAGGGCTCCACTTTAGTGTTGTATATAGTCTAGGGCTCCACTGGAGTGCTGTGTATAGTGTAGGGCTACACTGTAGTGTTGTTTATAGTGTAAGGCTACACTGTAGTGCTGTATATAACTAGATAAGTGGAGGGCTTCATTGTAGTGCTGTGTATCACGTATATCGTATAGGGCTCCACTTTAGTGTTGTATATAGTCTAGGGCTCCACTGGAGTGCTGTGTATAGTGTAGGGCTACACTGTACTATTGTATATAACTAGATAAGTGGAGGGCTTCATTGTAGTGCTGTGTATCACGTATATCGTTTAGGGCTCCACTTTCGTGTTGTATCTAGTGTAGGGCTACACTGTAGTGCTGTATATAGTGGAGGGCTTCATTAATATATTGTAGTGTTGTGTATCACGTATATCGTTTAGGGCTCCACTTTAGTGTTGTATATAGTCTAGGGCTCCACTTGAGTGCTGTGTATAGTGTAGGGCTACACTGCACTATTGTATATTCATTAGTGTTGTACATAACGTGTATAGTGGAGTGTGTTTGCTTTAATGTTTGTGGATGATATATCGCCAATGACTTATTCCAGTTAACAATTACGAAAGAAAATCAATGCCTTGGAGAAATTTTGTGATACCACGGGTCTGAAAGTAAATTTAGACAAAACTAAAATCATATTTTTTCGTAATGGTTGCCCTTTGCGAAATTATGAAAAACTGTTTTTAATGGTACTCAAACAGAGGTAGTATATTTTTTTATAGATATCTTCGACAGTGTTTTTACTCCAAACATTGTGTGGAGTAGAGCTGAATGAAAGTGGACTCTTAATTGGGTTACCAATATAGAGAATATACTGTTTCATTTGTGTTTGGATTTGCGTAGACAGCCCAAGATGTTGGAAAAATAAAAAAGGTATTAAGAGAAATATATCTCAGCAACCAACTTCCACGTGTTAATGATATTTATCAATCTACCTATCATCTTGTAAATCTATTGTTGTTATCCTGTCTGTCGCTCGGCTATTAAGGGGCTAATACAAGGACTGGTCGGCTCGGAGTCAGTATATTGTGTCTGAGTGGGGTAGTCATGGTAAACTGCGGCATGGTATCTCAGTGGGCCAGCACAATAAAATCGGTATCAGTCCGAACTAGTACAAGCAAACACACACACAGACACTAACACATGCACACGCACGCACGCTTTTCACCTCACCTCACGTTGGAGTGAGTGAGTGAGAACGGTTTTACGCCGCTCTTAGCAATATTCCAGCAATTTCAATCTATTGTGTTCTTAATATCCGCAAAATGTAAACCAAAATAAGCTTGCGTCTCCTAATCTCCAATGACTGTATCATGCCCCCCTGGCCTTTATTTCGAACCCTTGTTTGTTTTCATTTCATATGGGCTGTTCGGGTGGAATTTCCCGAAATGCACACTTGGAAGTCGTGATGTCGTAATTCAGAAACACCTTTGATCTTAAGGGTTTATATATAGGTATGATCACATGTACAGAGCGGTGGTACGTTGTTGAACACCGCAAACATTTTCCAGCACAAACACAGAGGTTTGTTAATAGACTAATCTGAACCAGGCAAACAAGCTATGGGCAATTTTCAAACCACGACCCACTGTCAACGAATCAGCCAAACTACCAAGCCATAGCACCCGCTCTTCAGTCAGGTCTTATGACAAGTAATATCTACAGTAAACAAGGCAGACACAATTTTATGGATAACAACTTCTTTAATACTGTTAAAAGCGGCGTTTCGGTATAGATCCTTATACCGTTGTCAAGCAAGACTGAATGAGTACTTACTTACTTACATTGGAGATTTAACGTGCGCTTTCCGACTGATGCGTATTTCGCACACGGGCCCGGCCAGGCCATTTGATGTGTGCAACCCAAGAGGGGGCTTATATAGAATTTGGGAATTTTGAGATTTGGAATAGATGCCGATGAGGTTGGGGAGGAGAACTAAGGGAGCTGGGTGTAGTGGATGTTTGTTTGTTTATGTGATTTTGATTTGGTAGGTTATTGTGTTTTTAGATGCGTTTTATTAGTTCCGTTTTGATTAAGAATACGCCTAAGGCCTTGAAGTTTTCTGGTTTATTTTGTGGGTTTAGTATTGCTTCTAGAGTGAGAGCCTTGCTTAGATTGAGGGTGGTTTGTAATGCGGTTCGATGTGTTAGGTAGTGTGTGCAGTGGATGAGTGCATGTTCTGGGGTTTCTAGTTGTTTGCAGTGTGGGACATTGTACAGAATATATATAGTATGGGGAGGATTAACAGTAACAACAATTGCATACATGAGTGGTATAACATGAGTAAGTGTTGACAACAAGGGGATATTACTGTCACAACACGATGGACAGAGAACACATAGGTGGAAGCCAATGGGACATGAAGCCAATAAACAGGATAAGTGATTATTGCTCGATGAGTTCATAGTAGGCGGATGGGATGAAATAGCCTTGATCTCTGTTGATTGATGGCTTATGGCGGCGAATGTGGACTGCTTCTATTAGTTTTCTTTTAGTGAAATCATGGAGGTTGTTGGAGAGGATTTGGACGTTGTCCCAGTTGATGTTGTGATTAGGACAGTTGCTGATATGGTCCGAGATGGCTGATTTACTGTCGGATTTAATGGTGGGGGTTTTGTGCTCTTTGATTCTGGTGTTGATGGGGCGGGATGTTTCACTTAAGTAAGATTGTCCAAGGTTGCAGTCAATTTTGTAAACTACAGCTTTAGGCTCTTGGGGGCTGGTTGTGTTCCTGCCGTTGGATCTTGGCATGGTGTTGAGGGAGTTGGAGCTGGTGAAGTGGGTGTCGATGTTGGCTTGCTGTGTGAGGAGGCGGCTGATGATGTGGGAGGTTTTTCCTATGAACGGGAGGGCGATGCGGAAGGGCGCTGATTCGGGTTTAAGGGTCTCAGATCTGGGTGTGGGATAGAGTACAGAGGAGATGACTTTGTCGACGAGATTAAGTGGATAATTGGTGAGGTGGTTGAAGACTTGGCGGAGGTGTTCGATCTCAGGTTTGGGGTAATACACTGTGTGAATGTTATGTTAATATCACAGGAGAGAAGCGCATTCCCTAACAGTCGGCTGACTAAGGGGTCTGGGGCGCTGCCTTTAGCTGTGCAGAGTTGTGTCCCTTAGACTTGCCAGCATATGCTTTCTCTGTCAGCACCACATCTCGGATTATGGATGTCGCCAAAGTTATATAATGTACGACATGCATCTCTTTCCCTCCCACGTAATGTGTGAAGCCCATTTCTGGTGAAATTGCTGGAATATTGCTAAGAGCGGCGTAAAACCGTACTCACTCACTCCAACGTGAGGTGATGTGAAATGCGTCCGTGCGTGCATGTGTGTGTGTGTGTGTGTGTTTGGTTGCTTGTACTAGTTCGGACTGATACCGATTTTATAGTGCTAGCCCACTGAGATACCATGCCGCAGTTAAACATGAATACCCCACTCAGACACAGTATACTGACTCCAAGCCGACCAGTCCTTGTTTTAGCCCCTTAATGCCGAGCGCCAGACAGGGTAACAGCAAGTACCATCTTTTAACGTCTTTTGGTATGATGCGGCTGGGGATCGAACCCCGGACGCGTCGCAATGTAAGTGCAATAATCTTGACGTTAAACCCCATTTCACCTCAACCCACTTTTTTCAAAGGTGCAGTTATAAGACGCACTGATATACTTACGCCGCTTTTAACAGTATTCCAGTTATATAACGGCGTGTCACCTTAATGTGGGAGGAAAGCCCGAAGTGATGCAGGTCTCAGACGTTTACCACTTCGATGAAACCCACGAGCACGGGTATGGTGCTGACAAACCTAGAAACATAATCGGGGCGAACCGAGATTCGAACCCACAATCATAGGTTTCTGGCGTGCCCAAGGGACGCAACTCTGCATAGCGAATAGCGGCGCTTATCAGGACGTGTATATACAACACTTTAATTATTTCCTTAGTTATATCAACGTGAAGTTTTCTAACAATCGCTACAGTTTGTCATAAACACAATTACAACCGCTCTGCACTTCCGATCCTTAAGTGGTCAATGGCGTTTTGTTCGCTGTTGGGGATTGTGACCTTCCGCTCGAATGACCTGAACTGTCTGAATACAACTAGATGTAGTGTGTGGCGTGTTATGAATTATTTACATGGGTTATTAATTCCGATTGGACTCAAAGGTCGAAGATTTAACTAGATCAATAACATTACGACAGTACCACCAAATGTACACGTCCTGCAAGTCGTTCCATTTGTATTGTGTTCGCTTCGAAAATTAACATAGCCGTGGTCAGCAAAACATTTCTTCACACCAGGTGTGGGGGTTGCGAGGCGCCGAAAAGGGGCACGTGGCTCATAATAATCAGGTTTACTTTTATTAATTTGCAACGAACTAAATAAAGTGAAGATCATAAGACCTCCCTCCCTGCAATCAGTTTTGAGTGAGTGAGAGAGTGAGTTTTTCGCCGCTTAAAGCAATATTCCAGCAATATCACGGCGGGGGACACTAGAAATGGGCTTCATAAATTGTACCCATGTGGGGAATCGAACCCGGGCCTCCGGCGTGACGACCGAACGCTTTAACCACAAGGCTAATTTCCTTTGCGTGTTTAATGGAAATAAAAATGACTGACGCGCAGGATTTAAAGTGAGCCGATGCCGAGAAACATAACTGTACGCACAAATAACCTGCAACAGCAGAGCAGTACCTTGATGTAGTCTTATTGCATATTGAGGTGAGAAAGAAAGAAAAAAGAGACACACACACACGTCACTCTCTCTCTCTCTCTCTCTCTCTCTCACACACACACACACACACACACACACACACACACACACACATGGAATGAAGTGGGGAGTTATAAACATCTTTCTTAAATATAATGATGACGGCAACTTTTGCTTGTGCTGTGCGTACACATACACAGATCCGGGTTACAAAAGGTCTCACCAACCCATGCTTGTCGTAAGAGGCGACGAACACGATAGGGTGGTCAGGCTCGCTGACTTGTTTTGATGCATGTCATCGTATCCTAATTGCGTAGACCGATGCTGGTGACGTCAGTCACTGGAGTATCTGGTCCACACTCGATTATTTACAGACCGCCGTCATATAGCTGGAATATTGCTGAGTGCAGCGTCAAAAACGAACAACCAAAAACGTGTACAAACTTAATATAAATATATTTTACAACTTAAATACCGCCGATGCGACATAAATCACCATTCACACGCTCGCTGTTACCCTATAATGTGTTGACCACATAGATAAAAAGCGGAAGGTGCTATTTTTAAAGCATTTTTTTTAAAATTTCGCCGTGTCATGCACACTATCTGAAAGTACTAAATTTATATTCGCCTTTTGACAAAAGTTACATTTACTCGGCAGCTCCCATTCAAGTAAAAACGTTCCTTGGTGCACTCCACGGAACGAGGTTTTCAATATTGCACTGTGCACATAAACCTCGCTGTGAAATGTGTCGCGTCATTGCCGCTTGAGGGGACTGGACTGTCACAATGCAAGGGCGCTGTATATAAGATATAGATTTCGACGTGGGAAATCCTGATCAACATCAACCAGGAAGCATCGTAAGTAAGTCAATATTTGCTTGATATTGTAGATGTAATTATACGCTATTTTCAAATATTTCATTTCTTTTGAAGTCGCCTGATCTGTCGCTGACAGTTGTCTATTTTTAGATCACGTACGCCTGGAAAGCATACATGGATATAACACTTGGACAAATTCCTCTGTTGTTAAGGAAGTATACAGCAAATCTAGCGCCCAATAAATATACCCGTCATACACCTATGATTATTTTCCTTGGTAATGGTTTTGAAGGAAAAGCAGGTCGGTTTTAGGAATTATTTATGATAGCATGAAAAGGGTGTCAATTTCAATCAGGAAGGCGAGATCGTAGCTCCGAGTGTCTGTCATGTAAACTAACAGCTCGTTAGGGAACGTTAACCCTCTGGATGCCGAGTTTTTAGTAGGGTTGTAGAGGAGGGACATATAATTATGTCCAAATGGCATCCAGGAGGTTAAGGTATCATAGGGACGAGTAGAAATTTGCCCTTTTTATCAGCTTAGCTCCATGTTATCATTATAAGGACTAGTTGACTAAAACTGTTAGTTTCTATTGCTGATTCACATAAAAAGTGTGAAAATGAGGACAAATAATAAGACTGGCAAATAAATGTGAACGGAATGACGTAAAGGCAGTCTAGCCCACTTGAAACGTGGCCGATTGCATTATGAAAGTCTTTGACATTTTACCCATTTATATTTTTATGAATGTCAGGCAGGGTTGTCACCCGTTTGTGTTGTGTAGCATGGTAAATAGAAGGTGTGTGTGTGTGTGTGTTTGTGTGTGTGCGTGCGTGCGTGTGTGTGTGTGTGTGAGTGTGTGTGTGTTTTGGCTGAGTGTGGGGGTGTTATAGACTAACATCTAGAGGGTGTGGGTATGAGTGAGGGTAAGGATGAGAGTGTGGTTAAGGGTGTGGGTATGAGGTGAGAGAGCATGTGCGTCTGCGTTGTCGCGACATATGCGGAAAGATAATTTGATTTACTGGTTGAACGTTTTAAGACGCCCAATACTGAACAACTAGTTTTGGACAGTGATGGGTAACGGAAGAAAGTCAAGTTCAACGAGGTTGAGGTGCTGGGCCCCGTTCCTCAAAGCGATCTTAGCACTAAGGTGACCGTAAGTCCCATACTTTAACATTGGCTTACGATCATCGTAGCGCTAAGATCGCTTTGAGGAACGGGGCCCTGGTGAAAAGATGTTGTTTAATAAAGTTTTTAAAAAAATACTTCACTATTTTTTGTCTCTATTTCTACAATCTGTTACCCCTTCTTTGAGAGATGTCATGTTTTCAAGAAGTACAATACATGCAAGAGGTTCGAACATCTATCTATGGAGGGTTGCTTGATCAATTATTTTTTTTTAAACTGTGATTCTGTTACCATCATTTCGAACCAGTCAATGATACAAGGAATTTATCTTGAATATGATTAATATTTGTTTCGGAATGTTCTAAGATAGTTGAAATGTTAACCCTTGAACGCGTTCAGAAATGGTAACGACTTCAAAGCGTTCGTCGAGGTAGATGGAGATAAACCTCATTTGATTTAAATCTTAGGTAATCTATCTGTAGATACGTTCGATTTGTACATTTGCTTAAGCACTCGGTTCCAAATAAAAAAAATAGGCATCGAATCTGTGCTTAGAGTATCTCAAATTTTAAAACACTGGGTTTATCTCTTAATTTAATACCCCCCAAATCTATCAATACCTAATGTGACTGACAACATGTAGGTCATACTCAGGGTCACAACAAAGAATGAATGAATGTTTTATATCCTCTAATAGTGTCGTTATCAAACTAAATAATGTTAACACAGCAAACTACATGTATGTGCATGAACAATGAGTTGTAAGATCACACAGGTCAGTTGGACTGGATTATTTACATTGCTGATATTCTTTCATAGGCATAGAAAAGATTTTAGGTTCTTGAACTATTTCTTTTGACACAATTCTGGTGGATTTGGCCAAAGGTTGTATCTAGAGCTCTGTTGTGACGTGGGTCTTGTGACTCGAGGCTGCTGTGACCTGTCCTTTATACGTACTGAGTGATTCACACACAACGGGATGTTAGTGGGTCCCTCAATAACACAGTCACCTGACTGATAAAATGTGTAGAACCATTTGTCATGGTGAACATTATGTCAGTAACTCCGTGGTCATTATACAGGTTTCATATCATAGGTTGTGGAACACGGCCCCAACAATGGACATGGTAACAGGACCACGTGTCCGGTGAGCATGTGATCATTCATACTGTTTAGTCGATAGAAATGGTATGTGTGTGATGTGAAATGGGTTTGACGCCGTGTTCGAGATAATTATCCCCCGCCCCAACGAAGTTGGCGGGGGATATAAAATTGGGTTCCGCCCGTGTGTGCGTGCGTGTGTGCGTCCCGAAATCGTTTCCGGACCATAACTCAGAAACCGTTAAATATTTCTCTACGAAACATTGCATGTCTATCAGACTCATGCTGAACTGCTGCCTTTTGCTATTTAGGAGTTTTATAAATTTATATTTTTTACGTTTCCATGGCAACAAGTTGGACTTAGGTTCTATAAGGGTGCTGTCCGTTTCCGGAGGGTAACTCAAAAACCGTTAAATAATTTCTTAAAGAACTTTGCATGTGTACCAGACACATACTGAACTGGTGCCTTTTGCTATTTAGGAGTTTTATAAGTTAGACTTAGGTTCTATAAGGGTGCTGTTCGTTTCCGGAGCGTAACTCAAAATCCATTACTTACTTTCTTACAAAACTTTGCATGTCTACTAGGCACATACTGAACTGCTGCCTTTTGCTATTTAGGAATTTTTTAAATTTTTATTTTTTACGTTTCCATGGCAACAAGTTGGACTTAGGTTCTATAAGGGTGCTGTTTGTTTCCGGGGCGTAACTCAAAAACCATTAAATACTTCTTGCAAAACTTTGCATGTCTACTAGGCACATACTGAACTGGTGCCTTTTGCTATTTAGGAGTTTTATAAATGTTTATTTTAGAATTTCCATTGCAGCTATTTTGACATGGCCTAAGAGAAAGGTTGGGTCAGTAACCTGGTTTGGGACCATAACGTGTGAAAATGGCGGGGGATATGGATGACTTCGTCGACTATACGCTTGTTGCATTTTGCGACACGCAAACACGTGTCTCCGTGTCGTCCGGACTAATGCAGGTTTGACAGTGTGCATGCACGTGTGTGTGTGTGTGTGTGTGTGTGTGTGTGTGTGTGTGTGTGTGTGTGTGCTTGTACTAGTCCGGACTAATGCCGATTTATAGTGCTAGCAAACTGAGATACCATGCCGCAGTATAACACGGATAAACCACTCAGACACAGTATACTGACTCCAACCAATCAGGGTAACAACAGGTACAATCTCCTAACGTCTTTTGATAGGACGCGGACAGGGATCGAACCACCGACCTTCCGCTCACCGGGAAGACGCTTTTCCCACTCGACCACGGAGGCGGTCGCATTAATGGAAATCTATATGGAATCTCAATGGGAATTACCCAATTTTCAAGTCCTTATACAGTAAACTACGTTTATAACAAACACGCTTATAACGAACGGACCGATATAACGAACTTATTTTTTAGTCCCGGCCATTTGTTGTATGTATGCTGTATATATGCTTATAACGAACTACGGTTATTACGAACTAAAATTAGTGGTCCCTTTGAGTTCGTTATAACCGTAGTTTACTGTATAATAAGCAGACCCAAAGGAAATGATACTCATAACGCACAGACAATTTCTTATTGTAGAAAATACATTTAAGGTGTGTATCAATATGAAGTCGTACAACCGATATCGGAATTTAGCTAATGATAGCTTGTATCTCCTTACAGCAAGTATTGAAATATATTCTTTAGAAAAAAACCTTTAAATTGCGAATATGTTAAACAGCAGGACCTGTTTTGCACACCACTCTTTCACACCAGTTTCGTTGAAACTGCATCACTCTTCGAGTAAATATGACCAGTTAATTAAAATTGTTCCATGCTCCGACTCCTAAATGCATCCACACATACCCAAATGTCAAAGGGGCGGTCGGGTAGCCTGGTGGTTAAAGCGTTCTCTCGTCACGCGAACTGGGCATGCCAGAGGTTTCAGTACGCTGGGTTCCGCTGGGCTCCAAGGTTCCAAGATTAATTTACCTCGTTAGAGACCAAACAACAGTCACAACATCAACGTCTCCTCCGAAGAAGGCAAAGTCTGTTCGGTTTTCCGCGATTCCAAAGGAATCCTACTGGCGCACTTCCTTCCGAAAGGTTAGGCTGTTAATGGCAAATATTATGCTAATCCGCGTAGGCAACTGTATGAAAATATGAAGGCTAAATGTCGTATAAAACTCATCAAAGGTGTTTTCTACCAGGACAATGCACATATGCACGCGTGTGTTGACTAGGTGGCAACGCATGACTGGCATTGACCACATTGAACATTCTCCGTATTCACCAGATTTGGACCGCCTCCGTGGTCTAGTGGTAGAGCTTCCGCCCAGAGAGCGGAAGGTCCGGGGTTCGATCCGCGTCATACCAAAAGATTGTTGTTACATTTGACATGAATGGACATCATACACGTCTGTGCAGTAACTACCGCCTCCGTGTTCTAGAGGTAGAGCGTCCGCCCGGAGGCGTTAAAAGATGGTACCCTGTCTGGCGCTCGGCATTAATGGGCTGGTCGGCTCGAAGTCAGTAAACTGTGTCTGAGTGGGGTATTAATGTTAAACTGCGGCATGGTATCTTGTGTGCTAGCATTATAAATCGGCACCAGTCTGGACTAGTACAAGCACACACACACACACACACACACACACACACACACACACACACACGTGTGCTTGCACGTTGCTGTTTTAGTACAATAATCGAGACGTGCGAGACGTTAAACCCCATTTCACCTTCTCCCCCCTCCCTCACCAGTTTTGGCGCCGTTAAATGTCTGGCAAGCATAATGCAAATGATGATGACGTCATTTCGGCTTTAGAGGCCTTTTCACACC